CATTTTATTTACACAATTCAGGTTATTAACTGACAACTTGACAGTGACGCAAAGTATCAATGGAAAGCTACAGTTTTCGTATCTGTTATTAGAAAACAACAACAGCAGCAACCAAAACACGTTTTAATAATTCTCAAATTACTCTATTAGAAATTAATAAACGATATACGTAATAGCATAAATTGCAAACTGCAAACATTGAAACCAAGTTTTTAATGTTTATATAAAAAAAATAACTTGTTTAATAACAATGAACAATAATATTTAACGAATATGTGAAACGTATTGTAATAAAATTTAGTAATGTTATTTCATATAATTACAACAATAAGAAAATTGCTTAAATTTAACAACAATGTTAATAATGCGTAAATCGTTACGTAATTTAGTACAAGTGTTGCACTACTATTTACATATAAAATCATGCATATTTCAATTTTTTTTCCTTGTTTGTTTTCGTTCATGAATGAAATTTACGAAATTCACGTTTCGTTTTCAATGTTGCCGTTCCATTTCTCCGATTCGGATCATTAAATATTCGGCTGGATATTGTTTCCAAACGTAATACCTATTTCCACAAATGTTCATAATCCAACTTAACAATCGCTCCCATTTAGTCTAAAATTTTGCAACGTTTCAAATTTTTCAAAAGATTTTTCGCAGTCTAACCATCTTTAATAATAATCATAGATAAAAAACACATTTATTAAAATTTGGCAACGTCTTAATTAACACATTGTCATTTGTTTGTTTCACTTGTTAACGTCAAGAAAAAAACAAACGCTAACGCATTTAGCTTGTGCGAATATTTTTTTTTTCACTATATGTAAAAATTTGCATTGATTTACTTAAACAGTGGGATTATTCTAATTCGCGTTTGCTCGAAGAAATTCTATGACTAATGCTATACCTACTGCATAATAATCATAAAACAAGAACCTTGCAAATGTTTTCAAATTAATTGATACGTTCCATTTTTTTTTCTCTCTCTCGTAAATTAATTAAAATATAAATTGTCTTTCACTTCATTGAAAATCTAGTTAATTCAATTGAAAGTTTTCATCTCTTGATTATTGCTTAATAAATTTAGATATCGTTATTATAATCTTATCTCGTTACATTCTTTTTTTTTTAAATTTCAAACCTCTCTGACCATCTACGGCTCGCGTCTAATGAGCAGCATTATCCATAGAAACGCAGTAAACATGTTAATAAATGCCGTAAATGTTGCTACGCGACGACAATAAAACGGATGGGTTACGCCTGCAGCATCTAAATTACGTAATGACAATTTAAACTAGGAGAATATAAAGAGAGAGAGAGAGACAAATTACCTCATTTTCGGTTTAACTTTATTCAGGTGCACGCATGTATTATTATTATTGTTATGATTATTACGATCTTACTCGGAAATACAATAAATTTTTACTTTGTTTCACATTTTATTTTTATTATCTCATTTCACTTCATTCTAGATAACACTAATTATTACATATTAATTACAGGAAATGTTTCTTTTTCATTTTATTTTCCTTATNNAAAAATTACCATTAAAATGTTGTAAATCAAAGAAGGCTTATGCGCATTCCTCCATTGTCTTTCACGTTACGAAATGGAATAGGATAAAAGTTACGATTCGCGCTCAGACATAAATTACGATTTAAATAAAGCGTCGATAAAATATAAATAAATATTATGTATATTATTATTATTATTGTTGAAGCGTGTGTAGAAGTGGTTGTAATCTACGTATAAAGAAGGCTGTGGGACGCACTGGAACGCTGTATTTGGAAGTGCAAAAGTATTTTGACATTTAACAAGAACGAATAGTTGGCGCGCGTTTCTTTCTGCAAAGAAATTCATTGAAGAAGAAGAAGAAAAAAACAGCATGCGTGTGCATTTATATTAGATTTGTATTTCAATTCGATTTGTTGAAAGTAATAACCATGGTTACTGGTGGGTTCATGTTCATAATGTATTTGTTACTTAGATGTCAATTGTAATCACCATGGTAATGCTTTCGATTAACAGTAAAAAATAAAGAGTTTTCGAATTGCGCGAAGTTATGCGAAAACATTTATTGATTCTCGGTCGATTTGAAAGTTTAGGTTAAGGTTTTTTGAGCCAACGCAACATAAATACTTGGGTTTAATTTGAATCGAATTAATTATTGCTCCAATCGTTTTCAATTAGCGCAAACAGAAAATTGCAGAACGAATTTATTTTTTATATATATGTAGTTTGTTTTCTTCTTTTTTTTATTAACGTCTAACGAGAAATTAAAGCAGAAAAAAAATGTTTGCTTGCTGTTGCTAAGTAATAACAAACAATCTTCAATCAATCGATCTTTCTTGAGATTTGTTTTCGGTCACTAAGCAATGATCATAATTTGATATATTGATGGGTTGGCGTTAAATAGGTTGGTTGCATCTCGAGATTTATTACGTGTATATAAGTATGTAAGTTAAAAGAAAAATATATGTATTTATGCAGGATCGTGAGGATGCAATTAATATTATTCGATAATTTTTTTTGTTGTTGCATAATAAAGACATAAAGAATTGCGCGATAGACGTTTGAAACAAATGGAGATGAATGCGGTAGACTACTTTGTTTTTTATTCTTTATCGATTAATCTTGATATTTAACTTTTAACGTCAAAGATGAAGAATGAAGATGATTTTATGTGCGATGAATCGAAAATTATTTATGTCTTCGAGCGATATTCTCAATTCCGGAGAAGATTTTAATCATCATCGAATCGTGGATCGAATTTACGATTTAGACCGCATAACTTGCGGAAATGTCAAGATTGAATTTAAATAATTTTATGAACGTGATGATTCTTTTAACTTTTTTTTGTATTTATAAATATTCGATTTATTTCTATAAACAAATTTTGTGAAAAATATATAAATTATCTAATTGGTGCATTGATTATGTGAGTTGATATCTTTTGTTAATGTTATTGTTGTCATGGTGAAAAGTTTTGTTTTTGTTAATGATGGGTCTAATGACTCGCTTTTCATAGCGCGCGCGCTCGGTCGCTCACATAATGATTATTATGACCGACGGTTTTTCATTATTACCATGGAAACGCCAATTACCGAGCGATTACCGCGCGAGATTAATTAATTACGTTCACAACTCGACATCAATATTGCCTTGCATTCATCATGTCATCATGTTTATGCACACTTCATTCAATCCAAATTTATAATAAATATGTTTACAACACTCACGTCACAATGATCATGATGACTAGAATATTTGACAGGAGGTGGATGACAGCTAGATGATGACAGATGACGTTTATTACGTCCAAGTTCAATTCTACGAACGGTCATCGCACTTGTTACGAAAGAAGAAAATGAAAAGTAAATAAAGATAAAATAAGACACACAATAATAATAAACGAATTTCAATTGAATAGTTTGCAGTTGACTATTGTCGTAGCTATGGTTACGCAACGTCTTTTCGTGCCGAGGAGCAAATTGAATTTGTTTAACACCTAACAGGCAAGAAGCAAGAAGAGGACGTGAGCGTTCATACGGTTTCTCCTCAATTTCGGCTCTATTCACTCCAATTTACCGTTGTTGTGCAACGCACGTCAAAATCATTGACATTTCGTGATTGTTGGCTTTTGTTGTATTAGTAGACAACGATTCCCATGGCTTTCTCGATTCAACGCACAAAATCATCATCATGATTTCGCGCTGTAAATACACTGAAATCAGTATGCAAAATTTTACGCATTGCGAAACGCAAGCAATCAAATTGTTTATTATATTTTGTAAAATCCCCATCGATTGAAAACTTTTATGCACATTTATTTCGTCTCTAGTTCTGCACTGGACAATGGACGGAAACTTTCGGTGGATGGAATCTTCTTCTCTCTATCTTCGAGTTGCATACGTCTGACGACGACCTATTTTGCTGGTTTGCAAAATATTTAAGAACATCTCGCAACAAACACACACACAACCATTTGCAACTCATTACGTAACGTCCATCTCGTACAATCTCGATCTATATTTTTTTTTCAAACGCAACGACCGATATTCATATCATTTCTCGTGTGAGTGTATGACATTGATGACAGGAGATGAATGATAGTTAGAGCAACGACAGGTAAATTAACAAATGCAATAAGTATTTGACAGGAGTTGAATGACAGTTAGAGTAATGATAGTTAGCGTAATCAACAGATGATGACGACGACAGGAGTGACACAGACTTAATTAATTTCAATGAAAATTGAATCAATCAACAGATGAAATGTGTATTTGATAAGAGTTGAATGACAGTTATCGTAATCAATAGATAATGACTATGACAGGAGGGACACACACTTAATTAATTTCAATGACAGTTGAATCAATCAACAGATGAAATGTGTATTTGACAGGAGTTGAATGACAGTTATCGTAATCAACAGATGATGACGATGACAGGAGTGACACACACTTAATTAATGTCAATGACAGTTGAATCAATCAACAGATGAAATGAGCATTTTACAAGAGTTGGATAACACTTAGAGTAATGAAAGTTAGCGTAATCAACAGATGATGACGATGACACATACTTAATTAATTTCAATGACACTTAAATCAATCAACATATGAAATGTGTATTTGACAGGAGTTGAATGACAGTTAATCAATCAACAGATGAAATGGTATTTGACAGTAGAGTTGAATGACAGTTAGCATAATCAACATGACGATGACAGGAGTGACACACACTTAATTAATTTCAATGACAGTTGAATCAATCAACAGAAGAAATGAGTATTTGACAGTTAGAGTAATGACAGTTAGTCTAATAAACAGATGATGATGATAGGAGATGGATGACAGTTACAGAAACAAGTTGATGAAAGTATGAGTTGATAACAGTTAGAGTAATGACAATTAGCGTAATCAACAGATGATGACGATGACAGGAGTGACACACACTTAATTAATTTCAATGACAGTTGAATAAATTAACCGATGAAATAAGTATTTGACAGTTAGAGTAATGACAGTTAGCGTAATAAACAGATGATGATGATGATGATAGGAGATGGATGACAGTTAAAGAAACAAGTTGATGAAAGTATGACACACACACTTAATAAATTTCGCATGCTGCATTCCCCACGCTCATCTCAGTTTTCTATACGAAGGACGAGAGGGTGCGCTTGCCAATAATTTAGCATACAATTAAAATTCTTGTCCATATTGAAAACAAATTCGTTTACTTTTAAAATGCATTATCGTTAGCTGTTGGTAGATATAGAAGATGGGTTTCGTAACGGTTCGTTCGCTCTAGATTTTGTATTGTAATCGAAAACTTGGTTAAATAATTCTCCGATGATTTCTCAGACGAGAGCGGAAATTAAACTCCGCACAATGGGACACAGCCTCAATTACCTTTTCATTCCGTATGCAGATTTTATCTCATTCATCTTTACGTATTACAACGTGAATTAGTGTTTTTTTTCTGTTCTTTCTGTTGACTCTGTGGGTTTTACAAATTAAGATATAAACTCGCCCACACTACTAGATCCATCATATTCAGACGGTTTTTCATGTCTAATTATGCTTTGTGCTCAATACTAATTACAAAAGTAAGAGAGAATGGTGCAATAATAACAATAATAATAATAAAAAACGAGAACGATTTTGCAAAGAGCAGGCACATTTGAATGTAAACTTGGCAAATGTTAAGTAAACGCACCTTACTTGGGTCATTTCGTCATTCGAGATTTTGCTTTGAGTTGTCTGGTGAAGAAATTTTCGACCGGATCTTCAAAAGAAATGTGTTAGAGTCAAACGTTAATTGAATTAGTGTTCATCTTTATAACACCTTCTCGAATTCAACACTTTCACCAGAAATGATTTAGAATCGATGGATGATGAAAAATTGAAGTAATGAAGAAAAAAATAACACTTTTTCATATTTTATTTTTTTTCTCGGAAACTATAATAACTAGAATGGATCCAAAAGATGCATTTGAAAGCTTAATGATTGGGGAATACACATATATTACTCTAGTTTCATCCAGTTGGCTGTAATTCACGTTCATAGTTGAAAAAAATAACATTCAAGGAACCAGTGTTTTTCACATTTCATTGCTTTCCTCGGAAACTATAATAGATAGATTGGATCCAAAAGATGCATATAAAAGCTTAATGATTGGGGAATATACACACATTACTCTAGTTTCATCCAGTTGGCTGCAATTCACGTTCATAGTTGAAAAAAAAAATAACATTCAAGGAAGCAGTGTTTTTCACATTTCATTGCTTTTCTCGGAAACTATAATAGATAGATTGGATCCAAAAGATGCATATGAAATCTTAATGATTGGGGAATATACACACATTTCTCTAGTTTCATCCAGTTGGCTGTAATTCACGTTCATAGTTGAAAAAAAATAACATTCAAGGAAGCAGTGTTTTCCACATTTCAATGCTTTTCTCGGAAACTATAATAGATAGATTGGATCCAAAAGATGCATTTGAAAGCTTAATGATTGGGAAATATACATACATTACTCTAGTGTTATCCAGTTGGCTGTAATTTACGTTCATAGTAGAAAAAAATAACATTCAAGGAAGCAGTGTTTTCCACATTTCATTGCTTTTCTCGGAAACTATAATAGATAGTTTGGATCTAAAAGATGCATTTGAAAGCTTAATGATTGGGAAATATACATACATTACTCTAGTTTCATCCAGTTGGCTGTAATTCACGTTCATAGTTGAAAAAAAATAACATTCAAGAAAGCAGTGTTTTTCACATTTCATTGCTTTCCTCGGAAACTATAATAGATAGATTGGATCCAAAAGATGCATATGAAAGCTGTATGTTTAGGGAATATAGTGAGTGTTGTTTGTGTAATTGAAAATCATGCTAATGAATCATTTGCGATGGTCAAAGACGACGACGACGGAGAAAATCTACTTTTAATGGATGAACGCGATTAAAACGCAATCTGCACGTCGACTTAATTCGAGTCGTCAATTCAAGTTATATAATGACGCGGCAACCTTTGCAGAAATGTGATGAGCAGTTTTTTTTTCTCTCTCATTGCATTCACTATAGCAACATGTAAATACAAATTCGATCCACAAAAAAAAACATTTGTTGTTTTAATATCATTTTGTTGTTGTTTTTCTTATTGTCAATGTGACAATTGATTATCTTTGAAAACGTTTCGCTTATAGCTTATAGTTCTGTGTTTTTGGATAAAGTCAGCTTCAGATTCTTCAGAGTTTACTTTAAAACTCGGAAACCACAAAACGAAACGAACAAAAGAAACAAGATAATAATGGGGCTCAGAGTAATTTGTTTTTCTTTGAATTATCCAGTTTTCACCGGAACTTGCATTCAAAGACATTCAATGAGAAATCAATTATTCCTGTTATTCAATCGATCGATTTTCATCTCGAGGACCAATTAACAAATGCATTATGCATTCATTATTCGTACATCGAGATGAATTAATTTGATAATTGTATATAATTCCGGATTTTCCAAGTTTCCACGATTCAATTTCCATTTTCCATCGCAATTCGGAGCGTCTAAACGACTAGATATTATATAGTCTGCGACGCGCCGTCGTTTGTTTCTGGTAGCCTCGTGCTCTTGATTCAAAGCAACCTTGATCCCAGACCAATTAGAACGCAAACAAGAGAAATAACAACAGCAACAAAAATAACAAAAAAAAAACACATGTGAAATTTGATCTTTATATTTGGCATTCCTGGTAATTAAAATAACATTAATAATTATCGAATCTGACTTTGATACGGGTGAATTTAGTTTATTTTTCAAAGGTAATTTTAATGTTCGATTTTAATTACTTTTTTTTATCTTATATTTTGAGAGCTAATTAATCAATGTATATTTTAATGATGAACAAAACAAAGAAATTGTTCATTAAAATTTGATTTCGCTTTTGAAGATCTGAAATTTTAATTTCATCTGATTACCATTGATTATAATTTTTCTTCTTGCAAAATTGTGCAATGGATGTTATGCATTTATTTCTTTTTTTTATGTAATAAACTTTCTTTTTCGTGTCTTCCTAAAATGAAGGAGAATTCCAAATAAATTACCTGTCGTCGGCGTTCGTTTCAAAAACTAGAAGAATGTCATGTTCAAATTATATGTTAATCGGACCTTTATATTCAATGTATCAATAATAATCGAATCATCATAATTATTCATTCAATCATATGCAGATTTCATCTCCTATAATGATCAGTTTTACAAATCAATTATTTAGTCAAATAGTGGGGGGTTAATGATTTATTGTGTTTCATGTAAATCTAAGTTCACTTTGACTTTGTTGGAGAATTATAATACGTTTTGAAAAATGTTGATAAAAAGTTTGCTTTTTAATGACGTTTTCTGTTGAATCTTATTAGATGTATTTGATATTTCACTTCTGCTTTATTATATAATATTTGGAAAATGAATTGTGAAATTTCATATATTTACGTTCATCGAAAAGTTGTTGATGGTTTTTTTTTTCTTGTATCGTACCTTTATAAATGTTGCGTTTTACACGAGAACAATGAATTTGTTGGAGGAGGTGTTAGGTAATGATGATTGGTTGGTTGGTGGCGCCGAAAACGGAATTGCGCAATGTTTATGGGTTAACCCACGTCAATCGACTGACCTATTATAAAATAACTTTCGATCGGTAGCAAAACCAAAGAAGTGTCGCAATGTTTTTCTTAAATATTATTAATGTTTTGCACGTTTCACCAATTACATAAGTTTCAGAAGAGGCAGTTCTCGTGCGAGGGTCGAGCGGCTGGATATTATGCGGACGTCGAGTCAGGGTGTCAGGTAAGAAGACTGTGAGGATTGATGGTAGTGGTTTCAATTGATTTTGATGTCTTTGTTACACAGATTTACCACATGTGCGACGGCCTTGGAAGACAATTCAGCTACACGTGTCCAAATACGACGCTCTTCCAGCAGAGGATGCTCATCTGCGACCATTGGTACATGGTGAACTGCAGCAAATCTGAAGTGGATTACAGCGCGAATCTTCTGATCGGACAGAAAGGAAAACCGTTCGTGGAGGACGACGAGGAGAATCCGTACCATAGAACGCCGAGGCCCGATCTGTTAGCAAATCCGAGCTCCGACGAGTACAACATCATCTACAGGATTGGAAGGGCGCAGCAGGGCACCAACAAGAATCTCGTTGGCGTTGATTCCCGTAACAAGGACGATTCCGGTGAACCGGCCTACTTTCTGCCCAGCCACTGGAGCACCGAGTACACCAAAAGCACCACCGAAAAGACGAAAGCAGCAGCAGCAAAGAAGGAACCCAAAGTTAACTTTAAATCGAATTACAAAGCGACGACTCCCGTCTATCCGAAGATCGCTCCAACACGTGAAGCTTTAAACGAATATGAACAATCGCTTCCTAAGAACGAAGAAACGCACGTCAATTTTAAATCGAATTACAAAGCGACGACTCCCGTTTATCCGAAGATCGCTCCGACACGTGAACCTTTAATCGATGATGAACAATCGCTTCCGAAGAACGAAGAAACCCACGTCAATTTCAAGTCTAATTTTAAGGCAACGACTCCGGTTTACCCGAAGATCGCTCCAACCAAACAACCTTTGATTGGCAATGATCAACAATTTGCTCGGAACGATGAAGAAACGCACGTCAACTTTAAATCGAATTACAAAGCCACGACTCCCGTCTATCCGAAGATCGCTCCGACCGTAGAACCTCTGTCTTTCTCCGAAAACGAACAGAATCCTCTTCGCACAATTCTGACTGCTCCCAAGCGAGTCAACTTTAAATCGAACTTCAAAGCGACAACTCCCGTCTATCCGACTTCCGTGGAACCGGAAGAACCTTTGGCCGAAGAGGAAGTGGAACAAGAATCGGATGGTCCTTACGGTCTCAGCTCGATAGTGGAACCGCCGAAAGGACCAGAAGCGCCGCGCCGAAATCGTGTGGTCTTCGAAAGTACGCACAAAGCGACGACTCCGGTCTACCCGAAATTCGTGCCGAGCGAAGAACCGCTGGCGATAGAGGAGGCGGCGATCGATCCGAATCAACCGGGCATCAGCACAGTGATTCAACCGCCGAAATCGTACAGCGAGAACGTCAGAAACACGATCATCCAGAAACCCTCAATCTATTACGAACCGCCCGCAGCGAAAGAATCGCCGGCAATTCGCACAAGAGTGAGCGCGGACAAGAGTCTGGCGGAGTTGCGAAGATTCTTCTTGATCCCGGATTACGTCTTCCCATTGGACGCATCCGCCGTCCGACCAAATTACAACGAAGGCCCCAGCTCCTTCCAGGTGAATCCCTTCGCTCAGGGCATCATGCAGAGGGATCACGCGTACGCCTAAATCATCCACACCTTAATCATCGTCATCATCTTACATTACCTCCTCTGAGTGCGTTCAACATTTAATTTGATTGGCGCGAAACGACGCCCCGATCTTGTTAAGTGATGATGAATCGATCGCGACGCAGCTTCAAAATAAACTGCGTAACCATGGTAATGACATATCTGTTTAAATATCAAGCGCAATTGCCATGGTTATCTATCATAGTAAATAGGATATGCGATAGGCGCAATCGTTAGTCACTCACTCACTCACTCGATCTTCTACACTCATTACTCAAATATTGGAGCTATTTTCTGCAGTTGCAATCGAGCTGCGTTGCGAGAGATCCGGTAGATCGGCAGATGGCTCACCACCGCCTACTGCTGCTGCTGCTGTTACAATTTAAGTTTAAGGAATGCGTGCGTGTGTTATGTAATAATTAGCAATTACGAATACATTATGTCTTATTTATTTATCGAATAAATATATTTATAGTATGGCTCTCTTGAACTTTATTTATTTCTTTCTTTCCTATTATTATTATAAGTGAATGAGATGTGGGTGCGTTTGCAGGATGAATGACTTTAATGTATTTGCTATGGGATAAAGAAGATGGGTGTGGAGGTGTACAGGATGAAAAGTGTACGCGTTCTCATCTGAAGCACACGCATTTTCAAGGATGCAGTGGATGATGCAGATTCACCATCGCCCTGAAGAATCGACATCCACTCTGGCAGTACGGTTTCAGCTGAAGCTCTCGTCCTGCGGAGACGAAGACAACGTTTCCGGTGTGCAGAGATGGCCCATCTGACGTTTCAGCAGAACCGTCGACGCACAGCAGGATGCTCGCAACGGCGACGGCCGGAATGAGGTAGGCGGAAACCTCGGTAATCTGCAAAAAAAAATATAATTGTGAACTGATATTACGAATTCCTGAACTATGAAGCTGAAAGGTCAGGGTTTGGGTGAGAGATGCATTCAATTCTAAACCGCATTTGTAGAAATGGTTACAACTAGTTTTTGTTTTCTTTGTTGATTGGCTCACCGTGAATTTTTCCACCAGGAAATCAGCAACCGGCGGCTTGTAGATATGCAACACGTCGCTCACTTCGATCGGTGGCAAGAAATGCTCTTCGGCTGGTTTTCCGTCGTAATCGAGCATCGAGCAGAGCGTCTCGACGTCCTTGAATTTGGGCGTCAGACCTGCCCTCACCACGTTGTCCGAGCTGGACATGCACTCTATGCAATCTGCAAAGATCATCAATTAATCAATAAATATATATTGTATTTATGTTTTTCGATTATACCTCCCGATATGTATGCGTGAGGTATGTTTGGACCCAAGAAGATCGCCTGGCCCGGCTTCAAGCTGATGACGTTTAGGAAATACGGCGAGAAACAGCCTACGTCTCCGGGGAAGTCCAGTGCCAAACTCAAAATCAAATCCAACAATTCGTCCTTTTTCTTGCCTAAAATACAAAACATTTTCAAATCACATATATAAATTTTTACTTTCAAATAAATGTATCGATATAGGCAAGCAAACGTACATCGATGTTTAAAAAAAAAAGTTTGATTGTATGCAACCAATTGAACATGTACGTACATTGCTTTTTGTACGTGTCCAGCAGGACGTGCAGCTGTGAAGAGACGTCATCAGGGTTACAAGTCATCAGAGATCGAAAGCACGTCTTCAGGGCATCCATACCATCGGACTTGGTGGTAGAGTTTATCAGTTTATCCGCGTTGGCGGCGCCGATGACAGTTCGCAATTCTGGGACATCTACGGCAACAGAAAAAAAAAAGGAGAGTTGCATATGACATTGCCAACTGGATTATATGCGTTCACCTTTGATGAACTTTCGGATCTCGTGCAGAGGTCGAAATCCGCACATCGCCTTGAAGGGTGTTAGAGCGATGGCGAGCTCCGGCTTGTGGTTGTCGTCTTTGTAGATGTCCGGGAATTTGGCGTGCAACTCTTGCGCGAATTCCTGCAAAAACACAGAATGAAAAAAAAAACACACCAATGACAAACAAAACAAAAACAGAGATTGCTTTGATGTACCTTGTTCGGATGGGCTTGAACGCTCAACGCTTTTCTGATGCTCAATATCTTGAAGAGGAATGGCAGACGTTGCCCGAAAAGCTCGACACTCTCTTGACCGAGACAGTCGGGATTGTTGTCGATGTAGTGCGAGAGGGGTTCATCCGTGTACTTGATGGTCGATGGACCGGACGGATGCGTTCCCATCCACAATTCAGCAAAGGGCTTCACTCTCTCATCCTCATTCTCGTTCACGTCTTCTTTGAGGACCGCGTACTCGCCGTACAGCATCCTCGCGATGACGCTCCTGCTGCCACGATTTCCCCATTCGTAGTTCTTCACGCTCGGCTCCAACTCCATGACTCCGTCCTGATATTTGTAGATTTTCAACTCCAAATTAAGTTTGATGATTTCCTCATTGCCGACGAGGAAATCATCCATATTGAGCGAGATATGCACGTGCACCACGTAGTATATATATATTATGTTTACTGTTCGAGTTTGTAATGCGCACAGTGCAGATGGAGACACCGGCTCGGCTTCGGCGCTCCTCACAGCTGATTCTATAGGTGTTTGAACCCATTGACACAAATGCATGATTATCAACATCATCATCGCGTCGGACATTTAAAAACTTGTTTACACACAAAACTTTTCAACAAATACAATCAATCAACAATAAATTAAATAAAATGCAAAAATGTTGCGCAACCATTGCATTACAGGACGTAGATATTCGATTGGTCAAGAAAAAATTCCTAATAAAAAAAAAGAGGTACGAAAAGTTTTGTGAAATTGATCGAATTGATCAATTGAGATGGTCATGATGATGTTGATGGAGACGGAAATCACTCTTCATTCTACCTACCTACACTATCTTATATAAATGCATACTTACACTATATGCAGGCGAGCAGGCACTCATTTTGGATTAAAAATGAAAGTCAGGAAAACCGCGATCCGTTCCCCAATCAAACCGACAAGGCCGTCGTCGTCGTCTAGCAAAGAGCACGAATCGACGATTTTACTCTGCAACAAAAACGCACTCTCGTTATTAATATGCATTGAAAAGAAATTCTACAAATTCGATTAATCGGAGAGGCGTTGCGATACGTAATCCATTTACAAGTGCATTCAACTGTTCAATAAATAGATTTTAAATGCTTAGCAACCATCATATTGTTGTATATGCAAATTGTCAGAAAACAACTAATAGAATTTAATGACATTGAATATTGTTGTATGATTGTATGAATTTATATACAGTAAGTACTCGACTTACACTTGAGCGAACTTTCTACATTTCATGTATGCAAGAAAGGTTCAACAATCAAATTAACATTCTTGCAATTGTAAACAACATTTATGACGAAAAGAATATACAAAATATTTTTAGATTTCTAAGGTATTTCAATCTATGTGATTTCTGTTGATTTTCTAAATCGACTTGTAGTATAATTATTTAAAAACGAAAATCAGAATCCAGCAGGCTTCGTGGAAGTAGACAGAATATATATATAAAACAAAAGAACGCTGATAATGTTCTATTTTTAATTTTCCCAATATTCTTTTTTTTTTAATTATTCATTACTCGTCGGTTGCATAATTATATCGAGTGTTGCAATAATTATTGCTGCGATTGCCGCTTTCATGTGCAGCGAGTGTACAAGTGTGTGTATATATGTATGAGAGCGAGCGCGATTTTACGTAAAATCTCGTCCGTGTAAAGTGTGCACCGAATATATTGCCGCGCCGTGCGGAGCCGCTGATTGACTTCCTGACATGCGCAATGCGCAGCTGCTCTGCCCGTGACGTCACCCAGTACACACACATACAGGTCCCTGAACCCGCCGAACAAAAAATCTATATTAATTCTGTGCTCAATGTTGATATCAGGTTATCGGTTCTATTTTAGAAGTTGTTCACATAAACACACACAAATAAGGGGAAAAAGAAATCATCATCATCAACATCACGATGACAGAGCCGAACAAACAACAATTGCAAATCGACCAATAGAAAAATGCATACCAGATACCATCATTGATTGGCTCATCCCAAAATACGTGCAAACAAATCGCTTGTACCACACACACGTACAAAAAATACCTAGAATGTTTATATATAATAATACTACATCTTCCTCTTAGTTGGTTTCAGGAACAGATGTTTGGCAATGAAACACACGCTCTTCGCTCCTGCGCGCGGTAATGAAAAAAAATAAAATAAATGTAAAATAAAAATAATTTGGAAGTCAAGTTTGAATATTTTTAAATTTTCGATATGAACTTTAAAAATATCGAAGGATAGAGAGTGCGTGCGTGGGATGAGAAGATGAGAGAGCACGTTTCTTCCTTTTCGATATATACATTATTATTATAATATTTTTAATTCTTCTTTCCACCGATTACATTCCATCACAATCCGTTGACTCTTTATATTCCGAGAGATAAGATAAATTGAAACTATTTTTAAATCTACACTCATCAACTGCTCAACGCATCATCAACCTCGTCGTTTTTTTTTTCATCATTTCTTTTCTTCTCTGCGTTCGTTTCTGCATTACCATCAAAGCAGTTGGCATTATGATATAAGCTTCTTTAATATTGTCGTCATCACGAAATCATACAATGACGGTAGTTGCTATGGTTACTGTTAGCAATACTGTTGGTCGTGTTTCGAATTGTCAACGTCAATGGCGTTATTTCTAGTAGTTGCTATGGTTACTATTAATGGTGGTATAAGTGTAAATTGAATTAATTCTGAAGATGATGCTCTTCTCAGATCTTCGAACAGAATAATTGCGCAACTAACTATTAAAGCAGAAGCAGGATGGTTTGTTGGTTGAATATATGCTCAATTGGATTTCTTTGTGGCGCATGGCGCATATTATGCGTGTTGTGTGCTGTGTGTGTATGTGCTTTCAAATTAAGTTCGTAAATTGGTGAATGGTCAAAGCCAAGGCCGTGAACTCCCGAATCCTCTATTGTGCACGGCAGAACGCTACTGCCGTCCGCGCGCGCTCTCGGTAATTGTTTATATATGCGCCCATCCGAATCCATCAGAAACGACAAACACGATTCATAGAGATGTTTAGGTCAGGTTTCCACAGGAAAATAACAAAATATTGATCGTCGGATGTGTTTTTTTTTAGGTTGAACGGATCGATGCAGGTTCATCGATATCATCGTCAAACCGGAAGTACCTACCTACGTTCGAAGAACAAAAAAACAATTGATTTTCTTGCTTCCTTCCTTGATTCTTTATTTTTCGTTAGTTTCGATGATTTCGACGTCATCATAACTACAAACTACCCTAAGATGTTGTCGATGATCTAACGTTTACCTAGTTCGTAGACATAGTTTAGGTGCGAGTGTGTGTATCAATGAATCGATGTGATATAGCGGAAACAAGATGCAATAAGCGCACGGCGTGAGATTCTCTCTCGCTCTCTCTCTCTCTCTCTCTCTGTTTCTCTCTCCTTCCCCCCTCACTAGCGCGCCCCGAGTACAACTTCAGGTCATTCAACCCGCGGAGTCCCAGCTAGAAGCACACGGCGCGTTCGCTCGCTCGCTCTTTCGTATGTTCGTCCTTAATTCACAGTTACCATATACTCTATACTTACTATATACACTTACATTATTTCCGAGCATACACACATTTTCCACGCATTTTCCGTTGTTGCGTAATCATGGAGTGCCGCCGAAAATTACGCGTCCAACGTCGAACGAAGGAGGATAACTGAAGGGAAAAGAAAAAACGCGCGCGCGACAACAATAACAACAATTTGACGAAAACACAACCAGAAAATCACCAATTTGGGAGAAGGGAAGAAGAAAAGTGCCGTTCTGCAGTGAGTACGAGTGTTCCTCTAGTGCGTGCGTGTGTGTGTATATGTGAATAGTGTGCGTTGATCGAAGAAAGTGCGTGTGCGAGAAGAAGTAATATAATTCCGGTGAAAAGAAAAAAGGGAGAGAGAAAGAGAGAGAGAGAAGTACGGGTAAATGGAAATAATCATAAGCAACAACAGAAAGAAAAGCAGAGCTCCGCTCCGTGGAGCCAACTGATAGTAATAGTAAATAGTTAGTAAGTTTGTGCGCGCACGGGGGAGGGAAAAAGCTGAAAAGAAGGAAAGAAAGCCAAGTGCTTCAATCGAAACGTTCTCAGTTGTCTCTTTTTTTTTTCGGCGCAACAATAATACAAGAAGTGTACGGAAGAAGACTTCCGGTTTAGCCGTCGAAACGAGAGTTTTTAAAGAATTAAAGTGCGATCGAAATTAGTTTAGCTGATTTTCTCAAGAAAAAGTGTGCGTTTGCAAAGTGGACGAGGAGCGTTCGTTTTTGGCTTAAAGGATGTTTCTTTTGGATGGAAATCAAAAGTAGGTAGTTAATAACATAATAATATCTTTCGTTAAATGTAATAATTCTCTTTCGTATAGTAAAAATTAACTTCTTTATTATTAAAAGTCGCGAGTTTGGACCGATCCAACAAGATTTTGTAAATTTGTTAAAATATAAGTTTGTGGAAATCGTCGTCTTTCTTATATCGTTCGTCGCTTCGTTCGTTCGTTCGTTATCACTTGGGTTTCAAGGACGAAGGAGGTGGAGGAGGAGGAAAAATTGTCGCGGATTAAATTGGACGAAAAGTATTGCAAATAAAAAAAATAAAAACAAAACCGGCATTGGCCAGCAGCAGAAGCAGCACCAGCAGTGCTGACCCATTTTCGCTAACTATACATATCCTTATTATATTTAAAGAATGTGTGTGTGTGTGGCATTTCTCTTCTCTTCTCTGCACGCACTCAACACCTTGCATACTTTCTTACCCTTAACAGCAACTTTAACCCCGACTTAGTTTAAAATTTACTTATCAATCGCTTTACCCGTTGTTCTTGTCGCAATTGTTCTTCCCTTATCCAATTTCCTATTCTCCCCCGATTCGTTTTTATTTTGGTACAAACAAATAAACACAAAAAAAAATCGCGTTCCAGTTCTATCGATTAAGTTCAAAGCTCTCTGTGACTCGCTTCCCTCTCTCTCACTAACTCTCATACACACACTCAGAGTTCGCATCACACGGCCCCCTTCGTGTGCTCTTTCTCGCCCATGCATACGCATTTATGTAACCAAAAATAAATATGCGTTTGTTGTTCCATCTCCTTTTCCTCCTCCTCCTTCTCCTATCTTGACTATTTCGACTTCGGAAATTGAAACTGGGCTAAGTTAACTAACTAACTAACCAACATCTCCCTCTTCCCTTCCTTCCTTGTTCTTCAACTCGTTCTTCTTCAGCATTCGCGACGATTTGTTGCCGCTGTCATAATCGATTCCCATCGGTTTCAACCGCTTTACTTTTTTACACAACTCTCTGAGCTGTCCGATCTAAAAATACCGCCATTATAATTAGCCTCACTAGTTTTATTTTTTCTATTTTTCAGTTTTTCCTCCCAATTTCCGTTCGAATCCGCGCCGCGCTTCCATTAACATTTTTCCCCGATTGTTTTCGAAACTTTTCAGTTTCACTAAA